ACCACTCTCAGGTAAATTGAAAATTGTCATACTATGAAGACATGCTGGTCCGTCAACATCTACAGCGACTTCAAATTTTAATTTACCTTCGAAATTGAATTGAAAACAGGTTGCTATGAAATTAACCACAGAGCAGATAGTTAGCAGCTGATGTGTCAATGAGTATGCTATACCATTTTTCAAATTGTACTGAGAATCTACCGGATATTCCTTTAGAACGGTGATGTCTCGTAAAAAAGTTATATTTCAGCATTTTGCAATAAACATCGATTTGTTACGAATATTTGTAACCTCTTTCAACAAATACACTTTTCAACATACGTAAGATGTTTACTTGTTTGAAGAATCAATCAAACTAATTTCTGTTACCAGATGCTTGGTATTTTACAGACTTGAGATAAAAATATTCCCAATGATTTAGGGAAACCGAATATAATCACTAGCGATTAAATGCTGGCGACAAATTTATCAGAATCATGACGTTGTATTTTGCGATAACAAAATTTCAAATCTCGTGCATTTCTGCTCCTAATTTCTTCTTCGATTTCTCGACTCACATAAGCACAAACGTCAAGTTAGAAGCAGCGACGTGGTTAGCCGCTCGCACATGCTGTTCACTCGCTCTCTTTTACTCGGCGTTCATCTAGCCAGTAACAGCTCTTCTCTTCGCCCTCAGCATCACCGGCTTGCAAGAACGCCAAGTGTCAGCTATAACGATTCCAAGGTCGTCCACCATCGCTGTTCAGCCATGTTCGCCTGAGCAACGGCTCGCAACGTTGCCAGCACGACTTCGGATCTACCACGGCATCGAGTGCATCAAGATTGAGGCGTCGTCGATCGTCGCATCGAGGAAGCCTCGACGTCGCATGATTAAACCAGCAGGGACTCCACAATCGTCCAGCGTTCGCTCCCTACCGATTATTCGTAACGCCTTGCAACCGCTTTGATCGTCAGGAAAAATTTTATAACTTAAAAATTATTACTCAGAAACGTGGACAAGTTGCGTGAATCTAATATCAAATCTTAGAATTGTTCAAAGTGCAAGCTAAAGATTGATGGTTTACGATATTTCACGAGTTTCCGAATATAGAACGTTACTAAGAAAAATGTAACGATACGATCGTACGATTAATGTTAAAATGTAAACTACTTCGTGAATAAACACGATTCATGAGAGCTATTCAATTGTTTGCGCCTTTATTCCTGCACGTTGTTCCTTGATCCCTCATTTCGGGTACATTATTGTAACCTTTTATTCATTCATAGTTCCGATTATATTAATTATCATCTGCGTATTCTCTAAATCCCCTTTTGTTATCATGTATACATACAACATTTAACTGTTGATTTTTGCAGATAGCAATCAGGCAAGTCAAAAATAATCCAATAAGGTATCGACTATTTGTAATTGTATATAAGCAACGAATGACGAGTGTAATCTATGATTGAAAAGTGACGGTTTTTTTATTTCATAACACTATTGTTTGGTAACTTCATCAAAATTATTACTATTAATCAAACTATTTAGTTATGCAACAACTTCATTTCCATCCTAGACAACCCCGACAAACTCTAACGAAAAGCCTAACTTGACTCAAAACTTTGGGAACCTAGTACGAGCCAGAGTTGAAAAAAAGATGCATAAAAAGCGAGATACATGCAAAAGCATAATTCACTTTCGGGAAGGGCGAGCTGCGTAACACATCCGATTATCTGCGGTGGTGTGGCGTCTCGCGCGCGCGCTCGGAGACTGGCGACGCCGATAACCAGGTGAAGGTCCCGCCGCGTAGTAGAAAGGAGGCCGTATAGCCAAAAGCGTAACCTCCCGACGATGCGGCGGCGGATTATCCAGTTGCTTTTTTTTTATCGTCTCTCGTGTTTGCAACTGGCCCTATGCCAAAACAGTTGCCATGGTAACCTACCTTAAATCTTTCTCTCTACTACTCTCCTGTGCTGTTCAAACCTTTCGAGTGGACGCCTGCGTTGGGGACGCTGGATTTTTGTACGTTTAATGATTTCTCATTCTGCGAATGAAGTAGCTACAGTGAAGAGAGATTTGATTACATGAATTATGAAGTGTCTTATCGTTGATTATACTATTTTTTGCTAGAATATAAAATGAATTTTAGGTAGTTTGAGGTACAATAAATTCTCGGAATGATCATTTTGTCTAAATTTATCGTAATAAAAGAAAAGAAATTTCAATCCATTGACTGAAATTTTAGTCAAATAAAAACTCTATTTTTATTTTTATATTTTTTCCAAATATTTATTCATATAGTTAATGAATGTATGATGTATAAATAAATTACTAAGTGGTTGTTATGGGAATGGAATAATGAACAACGTTAGAACAATAGATTAGTAATTTATGTTAATTGAGTACATTATTTATTCGGCTCCTATAACATTTTTATTAATTTTTCATAAAAATTATTAGACAAATTTTCTTCTAAATACTGGAGAGAAAGAAGTCACTTTTAACACCCATTATCGTAAAGAATTTAAATAAAAATATTTTATTTCTCCAAAAGAATACAATAATATCGAAAGTGTAACTCCAATTTTTTTTAAATAAAAGCACATTGCTCTATACCTAAATTCCTATTAAAAAAACAACCAATTGTCTTGGAATGAAAATAAGTTCACATTAAAAAGCCATTTGTGTCCTTGCCGCCACTAATCAGCACTACAGCGCGTTAGAATTTTCTAAACTAGACGGAAGCCCTTTGGAACAAACAAAAAATAGAAGTTAAGTGCGCGGAGTTTAGTTTTGTTTTTAGTCGGAGAAATATGGTAATGCGCGCTCGTGTGTTTTGCACCCGTTGAATGCGGCACGTCGCGGATTAATCTTCTGAATTTAGTAGATCTCGAGGATTAAGTCTCGTTGATGCGAGTGTCCTGAACTTAAATGGCCTTATCTACCGTAGTGAGTATGCTAAGGTTTATTACGACTGAATGTTAAGTTTGTGATGCTGTTAAGGTTCCTATTTTGTCAAGTTTCTTAAGGCATTAGCAATTTAACAATGAAATATTTTTGTTCTAACTAAACACACTAAAAGCATTCGAGTAAAGAGGTTTGGGAATTCAGAAGTGTACAAACATATGGGTTACGTCACAATTATTCAAGAACTAGATATGGAAAAAATACGTTAACGGATTTTCTTAGCAACGCTTCTTTCTGCAAAAATGAGCTAAGGATCAGTAGTATCTAACAAGTTTTCCCACAGTCAACATTAAGGCAATTTTTTTCGTAATGAAATTTAATAAAACCCTAAATAAAATGTTTGTATTCATATTTCACAATAGTTAACAAAGACATACAGTATAATGATGGTAACGCAAAGACAATGTTCATTAATTTACTCTAGTTGGCAGATAAACGTGTTAAAAATGCATACTTGGACTTTTCATTGAATGTACACGTAGACAGAAATACAAAGTGACTTGACGTTCAATAAAAAGAAAAAATCGGCGAGATAGGATAGGAAAAAGCCGTACGGATATAAGGGAAGCGTAGGCATGCGAGATATTTCTATTTATGCGCTATCACGTGAGTACGTGTACGTCTGCTCGCAAACACAAGCGCTCTAGGCGTGAAAAAAAATCGATACACGAGCGCGTGTTGGACAATTGGAAGAGCAAAAAGTTGATTCTTCTTTTGTGTCAACTTGCAGTCAATGCATTCGTGCGACCTGTATCGTTCATTGAAGTGATTTTGAAAAGAAACACGAGTCTGATTTATTATTTTTTTTTTTGTTTTTCGCCGCTCTACGGCAAACCCGCGCGAGAGTAACTGTAAGAAACCTTTTACTCGACGAAAAGCTAAGCGGTTTTTACGTTTGGAACGTGCGCCAACATCGTACGGTGATATAACTATAATTTCAGATCTTCCACAAAGTAAGTGCCGCCAGTGCGAGTAGCAAACAAAAAAACCAAACGCGTGGCGCGTCCGAGCCCAAAAGAAAGCGCCTTGGACGAATTCAAACGGAGCCCAAAGCGTGAAAAATAACTTTTTGATCGTGGCAATATAAATGTCGTACGATCGATCGATCGGGCGTGCGCGAGCTTCAACAAGTTGACCGACAGCGAAAAATAATTCCCCTCTCGCGACGACGTGGGCCATTAATCTAAGGGGATTTTACGCGATCGCGACGGCGCGAACAAAAAATTTTTACGGACGTCGTTACGCCGACTGTTTTAACATCGTTATCTGACGACGAGCTGAGAAAAAACAGTTTTTCGACGGTTCATTATTTTCCCCGAAGTACGGAAAAGTCCATTTTTTTTACGCCTCTCGTAAAAGCCGCATGTGTGTTTTTTTTTCAGAACGTACCCCAAACTGCAAGAATATCTCAGATTCAAAATGGCAACGTTCGAAAGACGGCCTGGCGAGAAGGGTTCTCGAATAGGAAATGGAGAAAGCGTATAGAGTCTGGGTGTGGGTTAAATTATTGCACGGAAATCGGTTATCGCACGCAAGCGATTCATTATGCGACCCGTCATCCGAACTTCGCGCTCGTTTCCTCTACGTAACTTCTCGCTGAAACCCTTTTGCTGCCAAACTTCACTGATGAAACAAAATTTTTATTTCGTAAAAATGACGCCTACACAATACCGATTTTTTGTTTTGTTTTTAATACCGATAGGCGGAAATTTATATTGATAGAGCTTATATCGCGCGACGTAAATCCCCGTCAAACATGATGACTTTGCTCGGTGGCGGAGCATACGAGACTTTATTACAGCATTTTTACGAAGACATTTATTACCAATCATTACGAATAGCGTACTTTCATCGCGAAGAACTCGCCTATAATCGCAAATAATCAAAGTGCATAAACGACCTCATTAACCCATAGCGAATCTATATAACGCGGAATCCATATCGTCTCGCTGCCCCCTCAACAGAACTCAATTAATCCTCTCTTCAACTATGATGGCGATAATCATAATAATCTCTATATACGGCGATTGAAATGAGGCTCTGTGTGTTGCAGGCATTACTGAGGGGTGCACTGACCCAGCAGAGTGCTGTGATCCTAGTTTGCATGGCCATCGACAGATATATGTGCATGCTACATCCACAGCGGTACTTCCGTAAGTCTTCGAAAAAGGTAAGTCTTTGTATCGAGGCACGTTAAACATGCTTCATATTTTCCATCGTTCATTCATTGGATGGTGTGCGAAACGCCTTGTTTGGTTGATATCAGTTCCTTTTTCTGTTGTTCGATAGCGAAGCCAAAACTGTGGTTTATAGGTCACGATTTAATCGTTGATGGTTTTTGCAGGGAAATTTACGACCGCTCCCCTTCAATTTTTATCGAAAACTCGAGACAACAAAGTTTTTAAATGAATTGTTTTACTATTTGTGTTCGAAAACACGTGAATGTATTTTTTACACCCTGTCAATATTATAATTTATTTGCTGCTCAAAGAGGTTAAGATTAAAAAATATTTTCCAACTATGTGTTACAATACAAGACCAAATTGACAATGAATAGCCTGTACTTTTTCAGGCAATAAATCAGTTTACCAAACCACGCGCGCATATAAACCTCTCTACAATGATTAAAAGTTACATAATGCAATGCCAAGTCATTGTTTACGCACGAAATGAAACACGAGCTGCGAGTGTCCCTTGCATAATTAACGTTTCAATCAAGTTTTCGCGTAGCGAATTGGCTCGGAATCAAGTTAAACAGCGTGAAATTTTGAGTTACATATATATGCTTCTGTCACTTCTTTTTGTTTTTGCGTACACTGATGCGATTTTATTTAAATCTAACTATTATAAATAATTGAAATGTTTAAAAGTGGTTGAGTTGATTAAGAAATGACACGAAATCGTAAATAAACTGAAATATTTAAAAAAATTTTTATTTTCAGAGTTTGTTATCGTCAGAATTTTTTAATTTTGTACTTGAAGAAATTAACTAAACCAAAAATCTCAAGTTTATAAAACTGATATATATGAAAATTTTGTATAACCAATAACTAGTTAAGATAAAATTCAATTTTCCACAAATATCTTCAATAATTTACAATGTTTCAACATTATCTGCTTCGGCCTTGTAAATGAAAAAACTGGAAAACATTAACGTTAGAAATAAAAGAAATTATTTAAATTTTAAAAATAGCTTAGAGAAATGATTTCTCTTTCAAGCCTGTCCATTCGCATTTACAGAAAAGGACCTATTTCATAATTAACATCACTTTTTCATTTTACTTACCAAACATCTTTATCACTGACAAAAATATATGTCGCGTCACCAATAACAATCGAACAAATAACACACCCCTTTATCTCCCGCTAATATTTCAAGCCAACTTAGCTTTTATCGGTAAGGACATAACACAAAATGCAAATTTGCCAAGAGTCGAATTCAGGGCGTGAAATATTGACGCGATTGTCTCGATAGCTAAGACGAAAATCCAGTTATACAGCTCTATCTCTCTCTCTCTCTCTCACTCACTCACTGTTAGGAGACAAAGGCGAGCCTAGCGAATTATCAGCGTGGAGCGTCTTCACTCATTAGCTATCAAGCCACGCGCACGTCTTGCGACGTATCCCATTACGTATTAGCTTCTATCAAGGCTTTTGGTAATTGAGATGGCATACGTAATTCAAAGTTTTTTCTTGCCAGACTGCATTTACCTCGACCAAAGTTTTATAACGAAAATGTTCTCGTTTCATATAAATGAAAATGAAATCCACAATCTTTTTCCACAGTTTAATTACTTCGTTATCGGCATCGCAAAGCTCCAATATTTCAGTAGAAAAGGCCACTCTCGCAAGCCTGAGAATTTGATACGGTTCTATTCTCTGGCGACGATTCAATTCTCACGTGGGCGAACGTTGTTTATCCCTTCATACGCGTCAGATTAGTCAGTTGGATTTTTCGTTCGGAGCCAGTTCCTTTTGCTTTTTTCTTTTTCGAATTGGAAGGCAATCTTGATGGATTAAATATTTCTGTTGCGTAGATAGCAGATTATTGAAATCTGACTGATGAGATTATTGTGATATTATATCAAAGAATCAAGTTTCTTTTGAATGGTTTTTAATAAAATATCAGATTTTCGAAGGTAGACCATCCTCATTCAAAACTAACAACCTTTGATCAATAAATGGGACAGCCATGTAACCCAAAGTTCTGATTTATACAAATCATCTTTGCAGTTCCACAAGCTCTGCATAGTTGTTGGACTTTGATTGAACAGTATTCTCAAGTATCTAATTGTAACTTTGTTCATTATACTCGGTATAGTCCGACTAGTAATAACTGTTCTATACATAAATGTGTAGCACACGCGTATAATGTTAACGCTTCCATTGAAAAATATAATTTCTGAATGACAAACACTTGAATGAAAACCAGCGCGTTTCTTTTTTTTTCTGGAAAATTCTTCGTTAATCACATGTACAATGCCACGCCGTTACACTTTCGTCCTTTGGCGAGCATTTGACAACAGCTTTTATGGTCCGACGGGTCTTTCTCACACAGTCTGCCAACTCTCTCTCGCTCTCGCCTTATTTCGTGTCCGCTTGAATCGTAGCTCGACAGTCTTACGAGCCTTGAATTCCTTGTGCCCAGGAAATTGTCTGGTTAGATGTTTCAAGTATGGGTGTGGTCGCCTGAAATTGTTTCGTTCTTAATTTTTTTTGTTATTTATGATAATTGAAGATTCTACTTTGATGTACTTCTAATTATAAGTTTCATTAAATATTCATTGGAATGTTTAAGTGGTTCTTCTTGTTTAATTAGTTAAGCTGGAATACTTATTGTGCAAATTGTACAAAATTTCCAATGTGTTTTTTTGTCGCAAATTGAATAAGAAAACTTGCCAGTAAATAAAATTTTTTTAAAGTAGAATTTCTGGCATTTTACAAAGTTATTTCTAAATCAGTTGTACTTCATATCAAGACATAGGAGTAGTAAAGTTTCTCTACTGAAATAAAATTTTCTCATCTAAGAAATATGAGTTAAGTTTTTTCAGCAAAACTTAATATGTTTGAAATGTTCAAAATTACAAAACTAAATGGAGTTTAAAAAATCTCTATTGATTTTATCATATGTTAGTCACACAAAATATGGCGGAGACGTGAGCAAAAGAAAACCGAGCAGGTAAGCCCCTTGTTTTTGGAAACTTTCCAGAAGTGCACGTGAATACACCCAAATGCAAAGGATAAGCGAGGTCAGTTGAGAAAAGATTAAATAGTGTGAAAAAAGTTTATATATGGCTTGCATTATATTTTTAATATGAATTATAGTGAGTTAGACGTTAAAAGGAATAATTCGCAAAATCCACCGACAATAAACATTAGGCAACTAACTCTTTCTTTCTTTCACATTCAATGCCACTTGTTCCGAAAAGATAATTTTCACGTTCGTGAACGAGCAAACACTGAGAAGAATGATGTTTCGCTTTAAATCGTGCGTTGAACTCATCACTGGAAGCGACATGACTCTCTTTCAAACGCACCACACAATTTCCAGTTGAGCGTTTGAATGCAAAACAGAACAAGTTAAATCGCTTAACCGAAGCATGTGAGACCCTGAACGAGTTCTAAAGTCTTTTTCTTTTAAAAAATAAATTAGATTGTTGTTATTGCGTACAACCCATAAAGCATACAATAATAAATAAATTCGAAACATAAATAAATCACAACTGTCACATATAATCTTCACCGCAAAAATGGGAATGACTAAAAACGAGGGTACTCAACGAACAAAAATAGTGCATGAATAAATCGGCAGAATTGCGAGCGAGAGAGAGAGAGAGAGAGAGAGAGAGAGAGAGAGAGAGAGAGAGAGAGAGAGAGAGGGAGGGAGAGAGAAGTGGCTATGCGGCTGACATTCTCAGGCTACACGAGCACTGCATTCCCTCTCTCTCTCTCTTTCTCTCCTCCCCTTTTAATGACCGGACGTTCGTGCGCGTGGGATGGCAAACGGTGAGTTTTGATGGGCGCGATGTCCGCTTTTACGGTTACACCGATGATCGGCTGTGATTTGTTTGGGACGAAGGCTGTTTACTACGGTAAATGCTAGTTTTATTTTTAACCAAACTTGATTTTGTGGTGTACTTAATTGAATTTGAATCTAAGCGTATAATTTACTGTGTTGAAGATGTACAAGTTGTTTTCAATTTTTGAGTTTCAAAATATCACAAACCTTTCAAATTTCATCTAAAAATTTTGAAGTTTATCAACGGTGTTTCGATCGGTATTAAATACGACTTCGCTGGATTTCTACTAGAAAAGAATAGCCATTTAGATAAGATATTGCTCATTGCCCGACTGAACACGCACTACACTACTTGCCGAACGACCGCACACGATGGAAAAAAAAAACAAATGCTACGGCGATTTATTAGGGTTAGCCAATGTTTTCGTTTTCTAACAATCTGTTCGTGGCTATATGTTTTTTACTCTTTCGTTTTCACTCTTATCACTTTGATTGGATTTTCTGCTCTACTCCCAACTAACATCCAGTAGATTTGCGCACCAGTGAGTTTTGGCTATCGATGGCTAGAAACAAAAAAAATTCGAATTTTCGTTATATTGATCCACTCAAATACAAAAAATCTGAGCCATTATACTATTACATCAAAATAAAATCGAAGCTATTAATGGTATTTCTTCATTTTATCTACGTACATGCATTTATTTCTCAAAATATAAACTAATGTGAAAGTCTATGTATTACATAGTCGAAATTTTGAAAAGTAGTATATATCAAAAATTGGTCAGACGACTCTGTCAGTTTAATAAAATAGAATCGCCCAAAAATAAAAGAAATTCAATGATTTTTCAACTCAAAAAAACCTGAACCTTACAAGGCGTCTACACATCGATAGTTCACGTAGACCATGTGCTGTTATAATTTTTTTATGCCGCTTGCTTCTCTCACACTGCGCTCGCTTGGCAACGTCGCTCGCTCTCTCACGAGCAGTATTACATGCGGCAGGGCTGCGTGGCGATAATGTCGACTACGTGGATTGCCAGCGTGGCTATATTTGGCAGCCTGGTGCTGCCTAAAGGTGGCTACTACTTCAATGACACTGGTTTACTTGCTTGCGAGCCTTTTTTTGACAAAGCGTCGTTTAGGTAATGTAGTTATTTACTTTGTTTAACGCTAAGAAAAAAAGTATTTGGATGAAAAATAAGATAATGTAATTAATTCTCGTCAAGATATTTATCAACTATTAACAAATAATTATTTAATATTGATGAATAATTTTTCAATTATCAATGAATGTTTATAGAACATAAAAGATAATTTCATTTGTAATTTGGCAAATGTGAAATTATGAAGTAACTCGATAGAGATTTTACCTAAAACATTGCACAAATAATTCTATTTTACAGACTTAATAAACTTCCTGTATTCGGAAGTGTTTTTAACAAAACGTTTATTTGATGTAGAGTAATTTTTATTAAATAAGTGTTATAAACATAAAATGCAAATTAAATAAACATTTTTTTTTAAATCTTTCAATCTTTGGTTATACACATTTCGTGTTAAATAATTTAGATGGTTTAAAAACTTGAAATTAACGTTCAAGATAATAAAAATGCAAAATATAAGTAACCAACGAAAAGAAAAAAAAGTGCATACTAAAGTTATTGATAAGTGTAAAACACTGAGAAAGTAAAGTTAAAAAAAAAGAATTTGAGCTCGAACGCTGCTCGCTGAATTTTTCAGGATACTGGCGTGCTGCTGCTTCTATTTCCCGACGACGATGGCCCTGATGTACTTCTACGGCTCGGCCTTTCACGTGAACAAACTCCGCCTGAAGAGGGTAGTTTGCGTCAACACACCCGAAGTCGTTGGCGCCGGCCACATCGAGCGGGTAAGCATACAACGCTTTCCTTTTTTAATTGACCTACTCGCGCTCTCTCACTCACTCTCTCGCGCCATCCCAAATCGTCAAAGTGAATGTTTAACAGTCTCAAGATGAGCTGGATTTTTCCTGCACTGTTTCAGGTAATAACCGCGAGACGCTTAAAATGTTCATCTTTATCAAAGTTACGTATAGTCATCATTCGACTCACTGTTATTTGGAATCTCCATTCAGCGAAATTTTACGCGATATGCGAGTATTTGCTAAGAAACCGAATTGAAAACGTAATTGAATACTCTATCACCAGTCGTAAAACTCAAGCAAGTCAATAAAAAGCGTACGTAACCTCGTCAATTACTGTAGACAGTCTCGCTATACGACAGAGTGCGCATTCATAATCCCACCTTTGCATCAACGATAATTGAAGCCATTGCCGCGACTGAGGTCTGTGTAATTAGCCCGAGGCTTACACCGAGCTTTTCCGCGTTAAAAAAGAAAATTAAGTGCGGAGATGTGTACATGTAGCTCGAGGCTGATGTAATGACATTTTTCTATACGATGAAGAGAGAATAATGTGACTCTTAGTTATCTTAGTAAGCTATGTGCTACAGTTTTACGGAGGTTGTACTTCAAACTTATTAAAAAATGGAGCTTCTTTCAAAGGAATAGTAAACTTTGAATAGATCGACATTTCTTTTATTTTTCAACCGGCTTGTCGATAAAACGATGTATCTTGTCAAATTTACGTGAGCGCTGGAAAGCTTGCCAAACTTTTCACTATTGACTAGAACTTTGAAAGTTCGGTGTAGATGTAGACTTTATTTCCAACGGACTTTGACTTCCAGTAACCTGCAGTTCTATTTTATGACAGTTAATCATCAAAATGTCAATTATCGCTGACTTTAAATACTCTGGAGTAGATACTTTTTTATAATTAACAATGTGAAACTTTTGACCATGAAAAGTTAATTAAGTGCAAAGTAAACTTCATATCTTACCGAGTTGAAAGTCAATCATAACTTATTGTGTACCGAATTCATCCAATTTTAAAGCTAGTTTCTATGCTGTGGAAAATTACATAAAAGTACAGCATAGTCTACGTTGACGGTAGTTTATTGTTGGCTCGGTAGACAGAAGAATATCGATTAGTTGATTCAGGGAAGTGAAAAATATCAAATTTTAAATCGAAATACTAATTGAAACAAAAGGTGATTTTAAAACTTACAAAATACGAAATAGCAAATCTAAAAGCTGTCCATCACTCCGCGTCACGTAATCCTCTTTCATACTATAATCAAAAGCGCAAACTCCATTTTATTGTGAAACAAAGTTCGCGAATCCCCATCGAAAGATATCTATATATTTTGTTCGCAAGACAAATAAGTAACGACGAGTCAAAAATTCCAATAAGTCTGGCTACATTTGTCCGCAACTTCACTTCTTAATGGTACTTCGTATTCCTCTTCGTTTTCCGAGCGGTAATACGATTTTTCCTTAGCGGAGGATGCCTTCAGTTTTCGTTCGATTTTCTTTCCCCCCTCCTCCAACTTGGAGAGCTTCACTATTCTGCTGCTCGAGTTTTTTAATTAAATACTCGGTAAAAGTTTCTCTCTCTCTCTCTATTAATCACGCCGAATTGATAGGAAATCAAAATGATTTTCGAATTCATCTGACACGAAAAATATTGCAAAACCTTTCTGAAGAAAAAAAAATTATTTTTTATTACGACTATCTATATGAATAAAACAAATCTTGTACGAAAAGTCAAGTTGTAATAGGAAGACAAATGTACTTTTATCGCACGACTTCTATTGGCGTATAAGCTTGTTATATTTCAATATTGTTGGAGCTACACACAGAAAGACATCGCATACCGACAACAATTTTCCATACGCTGAAACATGCACAGACACATACGCGCGTCTCTTCTATATCTCTCTCTTACCTTTAAAGTTTCCCGAAAGCGGAAACTGATATTGACATTTCTCCCTCGACCTTACTGAAATGTTAGACAAGATAAACAATCAAGCTCACTTTGATATGGCACGTACGTGTGTGGGGCACTATTGACAGAATGGCCTTGTTCCTCGTGAATGTAATGCGATTGAAAAATTGCATGCCAAGTTAGGCAAAATTAATGTTTTTTATTTTCATCCTTCCCAGTGTTGGGAAGAAATTTTAATTATATATTTTTACTGGATATGACCTTCCTCGTTACCCGCTGGTTTTGAAAAGATAAATACACGACTTCTAAAGCAAACACTCGACATTTGAAATATTCACTCGACAAACTCAGAGTCACTTGAAACAACGACTAAATACTTGACAAACGTCGATAATAATCTCACACAATCGCCAAGAAAGTCCACAGGCAGATACACACACGAGATAATACCCCGACATAATACTCGCCCTAGTTTTTTCTTTTTTTCGGGCGAGCGATATTTTCCTTAGCGGGTGGCCCACTTAGCCAGCGATCCGCTGCGCGTGAACGATAATCCACCCAAAAATGCGCTTGCTGGCCAAAGGGAAAGAACAAAAAAAAAGCAAACGAAATCAGTTAACTGGAAGATGTTGAGAAGTTACGAGCTCTCCTATAGTGAAAGTTAATTTGTGAGGTTTGATCGGGATAACTTTATAGAGGGAGATAGCTCTCTTTTATCTTTTCGGTGGACTGAAAGTTTTTTTTTCAGTTAGCCCTTTCTCTGTTTCTATGGAGCGGAAAGTTTTTTTTTAGATAAGATGGAGTTTAAATTTGTCAGTGGATATGTAACTGATTCTATTGTTGAAGCGAAGATTATGCGAACTGTATTTAGCAATTTAAAATTCTTTCTTCATTTACCTATCTACAATTGTGAAGGTAATTAAGGAATACATTTTCGTACAAACCGAACTACTCTGAATTAGCAATATTACCAACTTGTTCGATAATTACAAACTTTGTACTGAGTTCCAAACTTCTATAATTATTGAAATAATTTTCAAAAAGCAAAAAACTAGAGATTTCATCGAAAATAAAAAATAATAAAAGATCATTTCGAAAGTTCAGTCAGCGAAAAAGCTCGAGACGATTAACATCCAATATCCTTGTAATACTGTCTATATTGGGTGCGAGGAATACCCGACGGCAAAAGCGAGTAGTCGAGTGCGAGTTTCGCGAACAAGGCCGGAAGTGCACTTTTACTCGCGTGTCGGATACGTTGGAGTTTTGCTGTACGTTCTCGAAACGATTTCTGAAAATTTTCGAGCGCTGAAGTTGGCTTGGTTTTTTGTTTATTTGAAATCCAAAATTTTTGAATGGCCGTTGTTGGTAATTTGTTTTTAAGTTATCGAGATGAAATGTGCATCGAAGCGAACAGTCATAAATGTGCTCGAATTTGACAAACACCCCGACTGAAATAAAAAGCAAAAATAACGCCATCGAGTTTGCTTCAATCCATTTTAACGAAGCTGCATTATCCACGCATTCTTTTAATCCTCTATTTATTCTTCCTTCTTGTTCGTTCTCTACGCTGTCCTTTGTTCTTCGTGAGAGTTGCGTTCTCGTTTTCAAAGTTTCTGTTTGTCTTCGCTCGCGCTCGTCGGGACTGCTACGTCGCCGCGCTTCATCGCCTTTTATTTTTGCCTGCACTGTTCTGCTATTCGTTTCGTCGGAGTCTCTCCGCTAATTCGGTTCTATGGCCTCATAATGTTTGCAAATGTATGCGTGGCAAAGCTGCTTTTTTAAAGGGAAATTAATTTTCTTCAAGGATACATTGACAATAGACATTATTCAAACGTATTCTAACGTTGAGAAACCTTTTTAAAAATACATCAACGGAAATTTTCACAAAACATATAAAAAAAAGTTGGAATTTTGCCAACAAAATCACAAGTAACAAAGCGTGAATATACTTTTGTTCTAAAACGCATCGCTTCACTCGCGATTTTCCAGCAAATCTTTTTCTGTCTTCGAGCGCTGTCGGCGAGTTTTTCTTTCGTTTTCCATTCAAGCGAGTCTTGCCCGCGCGCACTTAACCCACTTTGCCGTTCGCTCGCAAGTTAACGAGCCGTGGTCAATTTCCAAGGCAGCCGATCGCACCCACCTCGCGGAAATTGTTGAACGAATGAAAAACTTTTTACACACGCTTCGCGATAATCAGTCCTGTTGTTTCCACAAGGTTGACTCCTTACCAAAAGTAAATACCAGTAAATGACTTATTTGGCAATGGAACATTATCAATTTTACTTTCTTTAAACACGATGTTATTCATAAGTACACAAGTGTATAATTTCTAGTCATCGCTGAGAGAAATTTATATATATAATAAGAATTTCAATAGTAATATTTAGTAGTTAAAATTGATAGATCGCCGTCCAAATTGCAAGTCACATAAAAATTTATTATTATTTACATGGCAATTTTTTCAAACTATAGTCACTTGTTATTTCACAGAATGTAGTCGAAATGCTCACTTTGCGTTATACACAATAATTATTTGAAGAATTCAAACAATGAGCCTGTGATGATTTTGCAAAGTTGCGAATTAGAAAGAAAGTTGATTTTAGTGAAATCAATTTTTACATTACTTGAAAATCTTCATGTATTTTCAGAAACGCGATCATTGAACGAGCATAATTCCTGCATAAAGCTTTTTCTTTGTTTTTGAATATCGAAAATATAGTTTTTTTTTAATTTTATGTATTAGTCGTTCCGAAAAACAATCACTAGATCAACAACAACAAAGAAATAATCTAGATATCAGAACATAAATTTCAGTATATGTAGTAAAGTTTCAGTACGAACGTTTTTAAAGATTTTCTAAATTATTAAATATATTTATTAGGCAATAGATATGATTACATGTTGGATTTAGGAAAGAATAATCTAAAATCTAAGAAAATGAAAAGGTTACGATTAGAACAAATCGGTTCAGTAAATGCTTCGTCTAATGTCGATAAAAAAGTTACCAAACCAACAGAAATTTGGAAATACTTTTTCAATAATACATCTTTTCATGGAGTAAGAT